TCTTCTGTATTCGGCTTGCTCGGATCGGGTTTCGAATTTCGTAACCGCGAAGTCTTGTGGAACGATCGCTTGTTCGTTTGAAGGGGGGATTTGTTGATAGGATTCGAAATTCTCGGCCTGTAATTGATCCTCTGGGCGAACCTCGATATCGGGTACCTCAGGCTCGGCTGCGATATAGAAGCAAAAGCCCGCCGTGAAGGCTGTGTTTCTAAACCGAGCGCATTCCGAAGACCAGCGGCATGGCCGGACGGCTGCAGAAGTGGACGAAGAGTACGTAGGTAAGCCCGTATCATTATGTTCTCCCCGCTTTCCTACAATACAGGCGGGCTGTGTCTAGCTATCGAACTATCGAAGCGCTCGGGAGAAGCTTGGGGGTTTCGTTGACGGTAGGATAATCGCGTGACCACAGAAAAAAAGAGCTTGGGACTCAAGCTGATCAAAGAAGTCTAGTAGCGCCCAAGTATTTAATTCAAAAGTTTCAGCAGAGAATCTTGTTTTTCTCAGATTGGCTTGGAGGCAGCTAGATGTGTAGATTACCATATAAGTAGTGACGCGACTATGAGGTCGGTGTCGCTCAAGATTGAGAGTTCTGCGCAAAATTTTGGAAAAGCTCAAAAGTAAGAGCTAAGCACCAGCCTGCACGGTGATGCAACTACTGGTTACTGGCGGGACGGTGTTTGTAAGGATCCGACAAGGGTGCGGGCTCTCTGCTCAGCCGGTAACGCCGAGCTCCCATTTGCCCTTAAATCCGCACCTTTCCCAGCTATCTGAGATGGCTGTATAAGCCTTAATCATCGAAGAACTGTCTAGAAGATTGATATCGACAAGTAAAATTCATGTAGATAATCTTTGCTCTACTTGTTTATATCTAAGTAAGTCGCGGATACTCAAAATAATGATTGTAATGCCAAGTTAAACCCCCAATCCACAAACCCATGCCTTTTCATATTGTCAAAATTCAAAAGAAGCGAATACAAAGTGAAGCTAATCAGGTTTAGATAGTGTCTGAGTTAATCATAGATCACTTTAATAGATTATAGCCATATGGGAGGGGATGTGCAATCGCATAAGCCTCACATACAAATGATTCTTATACATCTTCAACACTCATCTCTCTCTTTATATGGGGGAGATATTCGATACATAAATAGCCACGTAGTAACACCCTAGTGAAAGGAACAGTGACCGATAGTGTTAAGAGTATGGGAGGCCAATTGAGACCGAATGTGAAATAGGAATGCTTACACGTTTGTAGAGTGTATAGGGCTGTTAATGCCTAACGTAGAGCATCAAGGAAGCTCATTTATAGGTCAAAGATACCTAGATTAGGTAGTTAGCGTGGTTCAAGTGCGAATAGGTCAGGCATCTTAGTGTCACCTGTGTCTAGTTACCTAAGGTAAGTCCAAGTCCACTGAACACATTATTGTTCCTTATTGAGACGACAACATATTCAGAGATCTATATTGTCCAAAGTGCATTTAGTTGACAATTCATATTTTCTATGACGTAGGTATCCATATTAGAACTCAGCTAGATAGCTAGATATATGCCGTAGGTATCTATCATAACTGAACGATGAGAGTGGAATCAGCCGAAGCCCGCGAGGTTAACCATTACTGTACTTCATTTACACCGCTGTTATATACGCTTGCGAAGTTGATTACAGCCTGCTAACTTGCGATGTTTTGTGAAATCATATCATGACGAATTTCATAGCCGACAACCTTTCCGCCTTTTCACGTACGTTACCTCTCTATAGTATACTGTAGTGTATGCGTGATACTTGCATCGCACTCGGTCCGGGTCATCCGAATCCAATGTACCTATCAAACGATTATCTATCGGTCCACTATGATTTGGATCGAATGGTGTTTACCCCTCATGCATACTGATGCCCCCTCATTGCTCCCAAGCCTGTGGCTATGCATTTAGATACTAGTAGTTCAATTGATAGCTTGTCAGCATCATGCCCAGCTGTTACACTACTAGTACCTGTGCGGCTTACAGTTACAGTGCTGACTCGCTAAATGCTCAATCCTCAAGACCCTGAAGATCCTCAAAACTCCCGTCCCTTTAACTGTAACGATGCTCTGTTCATAGAATTGATCCTACAAGTGATCCTATATGTAATTCTATCTACGCACAGCAAATATATCTCGCAATCCGCTGACAATTTCTGGAACCGCAGGCGGAACACGTACCTGGAGCCTGGATGCTATCTAGCGCAGATCGGCATCTATCTATCCCTGGTTTGTGAAATGAGGTGACATACGATGTCACCCAGGTGCAGTAAGCTGCTACACGCTTTCCCAATCCCGTCCCTAATAGCGACTAAACTAGAGCTGTCGCATTGACGATGCCGCATCCAACTTCCTTGCCGGCATCAGGTAAGCTTACTTTAGTAAACTCTAACGTCCTTTCGCGTTCAAATCATAGTATTTCCCCTCGTAGATTCCCATTCGTAGATCTCCCTAATCTCAACATTCTTTTCTCTTGTTTTCGTGGCCAATATTTTGTATCATTACCAATCACTGTCATTAAAACGTTGAAATACCTTGCTACGTAAAAAAAATGAGTGAATCGTTTGACTACATCGTCGTCGGCGGCGGTACATCCGGCTTGGTAGTAGCCGCTCGCCTCACTGAAGATGCCGACGTTCGAGTTCTAGTCATTGAGGCCGGAGCCGACAAGAGACACGATCCCGCTCTAGAAACCCCAGGTCTTGTTGCTGGTGTCTATGCAGACGACCGCTTCATCTGGCCGTTTCAATCAACACCACAGGTACGGAATCCTATGTTCCTGATTTTTAGAGCTATGGATAGGTATACTGACATTCTTGTGAGGAGTAGGCTGAGTTGAATGGCCGTCATCTTCGACAAGATACCGGCAAGGTTCTAGGCGGTAGTTCATTGACGAATTTCATGATGGCAATGTTCCCCTCGCGGACGAACCTAGACTCGTGGGCCAAGATGGGAAATAAAGGATGGTCTTATGATGATCTCGCCCCTTACTTCCAAAAATTCGCCACATCGCACCCGCCCAGTAAAGCAATTCGTGAGACGTTAGGTGGTTTGTCCTACTACCAGGAAGATCTTAAAGGCAACGGCCCTATCCAACTCTCCTTCGACGATCAATACTCGGTCATGAACGAGAAGTGGTTCAAGACCTTCGCCGAGCTGGGACTGGAGATGAAGACGGACCCTAGAACCGGCAAGGCCGTTGGTGCGTTCCAAAACTCATCGACTATCGAAAGTGGGAAGAATACTCGTAGTTCCGCCGTCACCGCATACTATACCGACGAGATCGCCCAACGACCGAACCTCAAGGTATTCATGGAAACAACAGTGCAGAAGATTACAACAGAGACTCGCGATGACCTCGTCATTGCGACCGGTGTAGAGGTGAAGGACAAGGAGGGGAAAGTTGCGACTATCACGGCCAACAAGGAAGTAGTTCTAGCTGCGGGGACCATCAGAACACCACAGCTACTAGAACTATCTGGCATTGGCGACCGCGACCTTCTCGAAAGTCTCGGAATTGATGTCCTAATTGATAACCCTAACGTTGGCGAGCATATGCAGGATCATCTCATGACCTCGCAGCAATTCCCAGTAAAGAAGGAATATCCATCCGCTGATGGGCTTCGTGATCCGGAAAAGTTCAAGAGTGCTTTTGAGCAGTACGCATCGACGAAGCAGGGTCCGCTAGCCGGCATGGGAACTAGCGTTGCCTACGTACCACTAGCAGATCGTAATGGTGTTATGACCAAGGCTGACCGCAAGGCCCTTTTCGACAAGTATCTTTCCAGCGGGCCTACACTGAATCCTGTTCAGAAACGGGAGTTCAAGCTAATACGTGAGCTGCTTGAGGCCGAAGAGGAGCCGGCCATCCAATACCTATGCTTCCCAGGGTCCCTTACCGTAACCCCTCATCCAGAGACTCTGACGGACATGTTCACGTCTCATGCTCCGTATGACTGTATCGGTATCATGGCTCTGCTCAACCACCCCTTCTCGCGTGGATCTGTACACATTTCCTCCAAGGACGCCTCGGTCCCGCCAACTTGGGACCCCAACTATTGCACACATCCTCTCGATCTCGAGATTCTCGCACGCACAGTCGGGTTCGTCGAGAAGATCGTCAACACTGCCCCTTACAAGGACATGATTGACCCGGAGCTTAAGCGCCTGCCAGATGCGACAGGTGACGACTTGGAGGTGGCGAAAGAGATCGTGCGAGGGCGGACGGTGTCCTGTTTCCACATCACCGGCACCTGCCGCATGCTGCCGAGAGAGCTAGGCGGTGTTATCAACGATCGCCTAGTCGTGCACGGCACTTCGAACATTCGTGTCGTCGACGCTAGTATGATCCCACTAGAACCCCTCGGGAATATTCAGACGACGGTATACGCCGTGGCCGAGAGAGCCGCGGATTTAATTAAGGAGAGTAGAAAGACGGAGGGAATCACCCTTCCCATCCGCTAGACGGTATCTGTATAAGGGGATGAATATATGAATGACTAAATGGATGATGATATAAATCTACATAGAGGAACAAAAATCTAAGACAATTATGACAGACACATGCATGTTGCTTGCTCCCTATAATCCACCACTTATCGTCTCTAGTAGGCTCGGGATTCTTTAGCTGGCGGGGCTAAATAAAAGAATTTTGCGATGCAATCACAATAAGCAAAGGCCATGCATGATCACTATCAATAGTTGGAACAGACGATTGATATGAAAGGCAAGACTCGCCCCACCTACCTTACCTCCCATCAGGGCAAAAATCACTATGAACCCGCCATGTAAGTGTGGGCGAAATTCACGGTTGGGAACGAGGTCTAGCCACCACAGCCCATCTTATTCCTTGAGAAAAAGCAATGATGAGAAATTGTATAATAAATAACAGAGATGATAAATAATATTAATAACAAGGAAAGAGAATGAATAAAGGAATGGGTTGAAAAAGGATTTAAAAATGAAAAAAAATGAAGCGTTTGACAGCTGCGAGGTTCGAACTCGCGCGACTTGCGTCAATAGAGATTTGAACGGACTCGTAAGAGCCAGTAAACTTAAATCTATCGCCTTAGACCACTCGGCCAAGCTGTCGGCGCAACTCTGGGAGCAGGCAAGCTACTCGGATGACGAAGCGAAGAGGTTAAGACGTGTTATAACATAGGAGGGGTGGAGCGATGAGGGGCAATTCATGTTGTACTACTGTACCTACTGAGTGCCGCCCCACTGTGAGGGGTAGATTAGGCACCTAGCTGCTTTAGTAACCGTACCGCGACCAGACTATCCCGACAACCAAACACAACACGATAAGTACGTCTTAACATCACCCCGTGTGAGCTCTAGTGGTTGGCGATAGCTTTTTCAGACACTAAGTATCGGGTATGATGAATATTCGCGTTGCGCAAAGAGCTTAATACGCACTAGACTAGTGATCTCTGCTATCTTGTTTGTTCCAGGAGGCGTAACAGTAGTGCGGTAGGCAGCACGCCTACCAAGGCTTTACTTGGGATTATCGTTGTAGCCCATTGGGCAAGAGGGGGGGATCCAAAGCTATAACTCAGTTGACGTGTCGCTGTTGGGCGCTGCTACATACATAGATACAAGTAGTATGTATGAGACATCCAGTAGTCTCAGCGACCATAGACGCACATTAGACGATAGTCTCTTGGTATGGTAGGATGCACGGCGAGTTCCTTTCGGCTTGAAACTTTACCTCCTCCTCATTAATTGTGTGACGGTGGAGCAGTCCATGTGCTTGTTCATACTCTGCACTAACACAACACGAGTAGGTGTTCCCCCGCTGCTTAAATCACTACAGTATATACTGTAATAGACGAGTAAGTGTAGGTATGCCACAAAAGAGCCTCTTTTGCATGCTGTTGCGTGTATTATATGTTTACATGATAAAACTAAACAAGCTGATCCCCAGCTTCTAGACATGACGTCGTCTCGTCGGGTTAACACAACCGGATATGTTTGCTACAAGTGCTTCGTGTACCAAAAAAAAAACACATAGGTCCCGTTCCATTGTTACCCTTGTTACACTCACTTGTGGGATAGTCCGTGAGAAACACTATGCCTTTGTAGCCCATCGCCCTGGGAAACATAACAGAGCGGCCTAGACTCAATCCCATTTACATCCTTTATCCTACACATTACAAAATACCAAGGTAATGGCCGAGCGACCAGCGGGACGGCCAACCATCTCCCTCATTAGTACCTTAAATTCCAGCCCCGTGCGTGTCTCGACTCATCATATCGAACTTCATCGGCTGCACCGTCTGCATGATCGCCGCTGTCCTACACGCTGATCTGCGACATGCTCGGGCCACGGACAGACCCGCGGCTCCGCCGGAATTCCTTAAATGCAAAAAACAGGGTAGCAGCGAACGTGCCGAATAAGAACCACATGAAGACGAGGCCGGCTTGAATCTCGCGACAGCGTTTCTCTGTGTCGCCGGAACCAAATGCGATCCAGTCGGACGGTCTCGAGCCCTATGGGTACACACAACACTTGTCAGTAACGGATCAATTGCAAGAGCTTAGGGCTGCTCTATACTAACCCAGTTGGCGCAATTGGCGGTGGTCAGCTTTGCGGACAGAACTACTGCGCCGATAAAGGTGAAGACCGTGGCGAGACCGTCTAAAGCAAGCGCAACGATGGGAACGGCTACAACGGAGACGATGTGTGCGACAATACTGTAGATTACGGCGATCCACGTCACGGCGCACACAAAGATGGAGAAGTTGATGGCAGCAGTAGCAGATGCGGTTGCGTGCTGGGTGTTGGCGCGGACATTGCCGAGGAGGCCGGTTGCGATGAGGACGAGGAGGAACTGCACCAGGCGCAGAATCGAGTTGATTATGGTCCTCATGGTGGAGGAGTTTGGTGGACAAGTGTATTTACTATTCCAGTTGTCTCAGCCTGTTATTATCTTCGCCGGGCTGCGTAGAAGAGGTTAGGTTGGTAGAGAGATGGGACGCCTCGAGTGTGATCTTGATCGTAGTAAATAACAAAGAGGGGGAGTGCCCGATAGAAGTCGTCGATATATCGAAATCGGCCGGCTGGGTTGAGGATATGTAGGTAGTTGAATGGTTGCTATGACAGAATTCTTTTGTTGATTATTATCGGTATTATGAACGGCAGTAGTGGTACATGGCACAGGAACAAGGGTCGAGGGTCGAGAGCAAAGAAAGAGAACAGGGTCCCAACTCCAACTGATTCGATGATGGGATGACGCGAATATGTAAGTAGGTGGTTATTAGATTACAGCGTGTTGTGGTTACTGTTGTGATCTATGACGGCAATACGATGGAGGAGGAGAAGAATAGCACGTTTTAACTTATGGGATTATGAGAAATGAGAAATGGGTAGGTAGTTGCAGATGAGATGAGCTTCTCGCCAGATCCAATCTGGATCATTCTATTGTTCAGGGTATGCCGAATACCTCCAGTCTGTCTCTAGCAGGTATTAGGCGCATGAGGTCATAGGCCAATTCCGGCACAAGTACACTATACTAATTATACCACCCACGTAATTATATCCGGGCAGTGCACATAACTTAGGACAACATAAAGGTACAGTATTGTACTTATATAATTAGCCATTTCATGATTAAATACCGCGACCTGGGTATTAATTTGAATTTTTTACTATTTCTATTTCACGATTTTGATGCTCATTCAATAGATAGGTTCCATACCTAGGTCCTTTTGAGATACCCTTTAGAGCAGGTACACCCTACAATCCCCCACCTCGAACACCATCCAGCCCTCAAGTTGTGGATGGTTGTGTGGATCTCCCGCCAGTTCCACTCATGCGTGCCATAGCAACGATCTTCTCTATAATTGGATCATCGGCTGTCTTGGATATCCACCCTTGATCCCGTAGCAACCACGAATCGCACACTAACTGTAGAGGAGACCGACCCCACGAGCCGCGCGCCAATCTCACCGAATAGACGCAACTATTCCTGGCCATTCATATATATACATATGTTGTAATATGATACATACGATGCTTGACCGGCTGATTCCTAACCAACTCAGCCTCACTGTCATAACAGGCTGTCCACTACATCTTGTTCATTTTGTTGTGTGCCCATTCCCCCGGCCTGCAGTCTTTCTATAGCTCTTCTAGCTTCCCTGTCCCACTTCGTCAAACCCACGATTCCCCACTGAAGAACCCCCACGATGTATAGAGCCGTGCAATTGCCGAACCAGAGGCCGCCTAGCCCCCAGCCGTGGAAGGCGAGATAAATGCCCGTCGGCAATGCACCACCGTAGTAGCTGACGAGATTGACGAGAGCCCCGACCCATTGCCTCCCCATCCCCCTCAAAGCGCCTCCGCAACTCCCACTCAGGCCGTCTGCGATCTGGAATAGTGCCACATACGGCATAACTTCTCCTACTAGTCTAACAACGCGCTCGTCGTCATTAAACACCTTGCCAAATACATTCCTTGTGCCCATGAGTATGCTCAGGATGATGGTCCCGTTTAGCACGGAGAGCACCGCAGCACAGTGGGCCGCACGAGCCGCATCCCGTGGCCTCTGCGCCCCCAGAAGGTTGCCAATCCGAGACGAAGTAGCAACACCCAGTCCGAATGGTATTGTATTAATGATCTGATCCACAGTCATGATGACCGATTGCGCAGCGAGTGGGATCATTCCCAGTCGTCCGGCTGCCAGCGCTACAATCTCAAATGCCCACCATTCGGTACCAACTTGGATAACACCCATCAGCGCTAAACGCGTGAATGGCCAAAGGTGAGAGATGGCGAGTTTAGGGGTAAGTCCGCCCCAACACTCGTGGCCACGTATGAACGCCGCATAGGCGACCAGGAGAAGGAAAGACGTCCAGTAACTAATACCAGTAGCGATTGGTGCTCCGTATAGCCCAATCCCCAACCTATAGACGAGCAGCCAGTTTAAAAATATGTTGAGCGGGGAAGTGATAAGAAGAACATAGGTTCCTGGTCGATAAATCTCTTGTGCCTGGAGATATTTTTTCATCGCCTCGAACCAAACATATCCTAGGCCTCCCGGGATGAGCGTTTGAAGGAATCTAGAACTCTGGATACAGATGAACTCTTCCTGGCCGAGTGCTCGGAATAACGGTTCCGAGAAGCTCCATACTACGGCGATGATGGCATACAGAATAGTAAATACGAAAAGCCCTCGTTGCAAAAGAATTCCTAGGTCGTGTCGATCTTGCGATCCGGTAAAGCTACTCGATGCAAGTGTATCAAGTGCAGTTGTGCCACCTAGCGCAACCAACCACGCTGATGCCGCCGCGAACATGTACGAGAAAGCTGCCGTAGCGAGAGCTTCCGGTGAAAGGCGTCCAACGATTAATACAGATGCGGTCTGAAGGCTATTCTGGAGGGTGTATGCTAATATGACCGGTATTGCCGCTTTTGTCAGTATCCATATTTCTCGAATCCATTGTCGATACCCAGGTCCGTCATCAGCCCCATGTCTATCTGTTGGCTTTGGCAGTAACGCGGTCGACTCGGTAATTGGGGTTGAAGGTCGGGATGACGACAGTAGACTTGAAGAAGAGGATGCTTCTGTCATGTTATTTAGCGGCTCTACACAAATTGAGGGGCTATCTGTGCTGTTTCTAGGTGTTCAACTGTTCGAGCTATTCGAGTTCAGGGTAGGTACACACCTCCCACCAAGCCTTGGAATGGTGGTGGATTAGTCCCAAGCATGGATCGAGTTCGGCTCGGCTAGGCTATGGCGTATCTTCCAGAAGTCTCACAATTGTTCACCAACTGCAGATCCTGATCTTATATTTCGAGCATCGAACTCCACATTCTACAATCATTGACCCAAAAAAGGGCACATTAAATGCATGACACGTGCATTCACTAATAGAAGAGATAAGGGCGGACTAAAGGACGCTGATTACATTGCACAAATAGTCATCATGGCTTCCGTATCCCGTAACCACCAGTTTTACCGTCTATACCGCGATTTGCGGCTTGCCTAGATCACTCTAGTCGTGTCTTATGTAGTACATCATCTTATGGTAATACGACAATCAACCAACGAGAACCTAATCCCCAGGTATGGCATCAGGGCTTGTTT